CAAATCACCTTATAAACTATCAAAATCATCCAAAAAACTAATTATAAAGTAATATGGTGGTGTTTTCACCCATTTTTTATATTTTTTAATTTGTTTCCTCCTTAATTAGGGTGGGTGATTAAGGTGGGTGGAACTCGTCCCACCTCGGTCATAAGCCAAGTCCCCGAGCGAACCACTGTTGGGCACTATTTAGATCAAATATAAATCAGGCTGTGCTGCTCAAGATTCAATATAATTTTCTTTAGCAAGTCCTTGTTCACATGACGCACTTGGGAATCAAAAGAATAAAAGAAATGAGGAAGAATAAAATAATTATTTTCATTTCAAATCATTGAGAAAAAGGCAGTTGATGCTGAAGTTATTTCTGAGTATATTTGTTATATAAAAACCATGACACAACAGCTACCCAAAAAACAGCATTGTAGCAGAAATTGAAAATTTTGTTACCTTATGAGATCAGGGAGGCTGCAAAGTCTGACTTGAAGCAGCCAGCCTTTCTTCAATGGAATCCGGTTTGTATACCAGATGGATCCTTCCTCCCTTCAGCATCCTGTAGAAACCATCTACAAGCATAAATTAATCGCCATCTTTCAACCATATAAAATCAAACAAATGGTCATAATGAAAACGAATAACAAAAATTTGATTTTTGGTGGGTCAGCTAATGCCTTCTTTGTTTTCTATGCAATAACACATTGACACAATAATTAATTTTCCTCTAAAGTCACAAATCTTTATAACAAAAACCAAAAGCAGCACAAACCAGTTATATACCAGACTCTAAAATAGATCCCTATAGACACAAAGCAGTAACTGCCATAAAATTCAATATTCCGCTTGACTATAGCCACAATCAGACCTACAAAATAGTCAGTTCAACTATAGGCAAGTCATGCTTAAAGTGTATATTATAATTCTCACCCTGTTCTAATATCACGAGAACACCCATACATACATTGTCCAAAGTCTGTATAGTAAGACGATGAAGGGGAGGAGTGGCCAGCTTAATTTTCATGGGGCAATCATTATTGCCTGTAACTTCAGCTTTCCTCAAAGCTTCCTGTGGAGAAACAAAAGATAAACAGGAGCAAACAAAGTTGTTGAAACTGACACAGTTCTAAGAATCCACAAATTGAAAATAACATAATTCATTAACAGAAATAGACATTCCATCAAGATGAAGCTCCATAATCAGATTTGGAAGAAACAGAGACCTTAATATGAAGGACCCCATCATATTGGAAACATTTCGTGCCAATATCTGCCCATAAGTTCATTGGTTGTAGGGTCATGAGCCTTTGAATAGTCACCTCTTCTCACATTGCTTGCACCATCTTGTAATCTACACGAAGAACTTTAAAGTAACTAATACTTTCGAAAAAATTTAACACCATACAAAAAAATGGCAGTTATTCATGACATTACCTCCGGTCCATAAGGACGCGCCTCTCTCTCTCTCTCTCTCTCTCTCTCTCTCTCTCTCTATATATATATATATATATATATATATATATATATATATATGGGAAATGCTAGTATAGGCCAGTGGGCTTACAGCTACATATGAGCCCAACGGTCCAGATTCAATCTGGGCCAATCCAATAATCACGATTGCATTTCATATTTGAATTTTAATTTTTTTATATAAATATAAATTACTTGAAATTTTGGACGTGTGTTCTTTAAAAATATTAGATTCCAATAAAAATATCAAAAAAATATTTTGTGAAAAATAAATTGACAAAATAGTTTAGGAGTATTTTGGTCAATTTATGTCTTGCGAATTATTTTTTTAATATTTTTTTTGGTGCGCCATGATGAGAAGAATAGATGCTTAAAATTTCACGAGATTTGGATTTGTAGAAAAAAATTAAAATTCAAATACGAAATGAGGTCGTGTCCGTCAAATCAACCCAGATTGAATCTAGGCTGTTGGGCTTATATGTAGCTGTAGACTAGTGGGAAATGCTGGCCCAAAATTTCAAGTGATTTGGATTTATATAAAAAAAAAATTAAAATTCAAATACAAAATACAATCGTGATCATTGGATCAACCCAAATTGAATATGGGCCGTTGGGCCTGTATGTAGCTGTAGGCTAGTGGGCTTACGTCAGTATT